ATCTACAAGGCTGGCACAGTTGGAGCTCCACTTCACACTAGAGGAACCAGAGGCACAGAGGAGTTAAGAAATTTTCTCAAGGTCATCAAGTCTAGAAGAAAGAGCCAAAACCTGAACTTGAGAAGTCCAATGGCAGATTCCATGCTCCTAACCACTAGACTACACTGCCTTTCATATTTTACTATATAACATTTGCAGTTGAAAAGTAACAGGAATTGTGTACATGCTATCTAGGCTAAAGGAACAGAATGTTGCCGGTAAATATCTTGGTGGTCCAGTGAGTGGCCCCTATTCAAGCACATATCCCCTAAGTCCTTACCTTTCCTCCCAAGTTAATTAGTATCCTAAGTTCTGGGTTAATTCCCCCATCCAAGTACTAAGCAGGCCTGACCTTGCTCAGTTTCTGAGATTGGATGAAAATGCATGTACTCAGGATGGTATGGCTACAATTTGGGTTAATTCTCTTGTTTTTTTGTTATGGTTTTAATATCTATATCTCTAAATGATATATCAGTAGTTTTTGCTTCATGTAAATGGAATTATATTCCCATCATCTCTGTTTTGTTTACTCAACTCAACATCACATGTTTGAGATTCTTCCTAGTTAAGGAGTACAGAGCTTTGGTTTATTCCTATTTGGGGATGTACAGTATTCTGTTTTTATTTTACCCATCCTATGACTGGACATGCAAATTACTCCTGGTTTTGGTAATTAAAAATGATTCTCTGGGCATCTTTTTGCATGACTGATGATGTCACAATTGCTCCAGGGAAGTGGGTTCTCAAATTTTAGCAGCTTCAGGTTCACCTGGATGGTTGGCTAACACAAAAATTGTTGGTCCTACCAGTGGAATTTTGATTTGACTGTTGTGGAGCAGGGCTTGAATGTTTGCCTTTCTAATTAGTTCTCAGGTGTTGCTGGTGCCACACCTGAGGACTCTAACTTTAGATCCACCACTGTAAAAACAGACCCAGGGGTGCACGCTCCACTTTACCAGGTATGCCAAGGTAAATGACTTCATTAGAGCTATTTCTCAAAATAGAAAGTGCTGTGTCCTTGGAACTCCCATTGACAGTTGTTCCACCTCTTTGCTAACTCTTACAATTAGATGATCAATCAGACTTCAAAGTGTTGTCAATCTGGTGAGAAAACACTTCTCAATGTGTTTTTATACTTCTCTGATTATTAAGGTCGAGTATTTTGCTGTATATTCATTGGTCACTGTTCCTCTTCTGTGCAATGTCTGGCTGGTTCCTGATCATTTTTCTGATTTTTTTTGTGTGTGTTCTCTTTATTGCTCGATGAGAGCCCTTTATATAAAATGGATAACAGTCCCTCTTCAGTTAGCTATATAAGTTTCAAATACCTTCTCCCAGTTCATGAATTGTCATTTTACTCTCTTTATCTTCTGGAGAATTAAATTTTGTAATTTTGACATAAACTTATCAATCTTCTTAAAACAACTGTGCTTTCTACATTTTGTTTACGAAACCCTTCCCTATCGCAAGGACCTAAGATTATCTCCTATGCTGTTTTCTAAAAATTGTATTTATTTTGGCCTTTCACATTCAAGTCTTACTTTACCTGGATTTGATTTTGGTTTATTTTATGAGATAAGAACCAATTTTTATTATTTCCACTGCCTTAATTACTTTGGCTTTATCTTAGTATCTAGTAGGGAAAGAACTATAGAGCCCTAAAGAAATGTTACAAACATTCGTGGCATCTTGTCCTTCAACACAGTACTTAGAATCAGCTTGTTAAGTTCAATGAAAACACCACAGAAGGCTGGGGATATAGGTCAGTTGGTAGAGTGCTTGCCTTGAATGCACAAGGCCCTGGGTTCAATCCCCAGCATCACAAAAACAACAACAAAAAACAACTCCATGGATATTTTGGTTATAATTGCACTGATTATATAGTTTAATTTAGAATAAAGTTATGTTTATAATGTTCTTATTAAAGAATATGTATATGTTCATAATTACATCTTCTATTTTAATTGCTGCTGCATCTGAGTTATTACTCTTTTGTATTCCTAATACTGTTTATTTGTCCCCCCCCTTTTTGATTAATCTTTCAGAAAATTTATCTACTTTATTAATTTTTATTGCTTTTTAATTGCTTTTTTGGCATTGTGATAAAACATACATAAAATAAAATTTAGCATATTGACCATTTTAAAGTTTATATTTAAAGTGCACATTTCGGTGGCATTAAGTTCACTCATCATTGTGTAACTATTACCACCCTCTGTCTCCAAGTGTTCTTTCTTCTTTCCTAGCTGAAACTCATTACCCATCAGGCTCCAACTCCCCATTCTTCCCTCCCTACAACCACTGGCAAGCATCATCTCTATTTTCCATCCCTACAGAGTTGATTACTGTAGGTCAAATTCATGTAAGTGGAATCATACAATACTGGTTCTTTTGTGATTACCTTACTTCACTTATGTGAGTGTGAAGTGGCATCTCACTGTGGTTTTGACTTGTATTAGCCTAATATATTGTTTCAAAGGATGAAATTTTGGCTTTATAATTTATTTTTATTATACATTTATTCTCTCACTGGTCTTAATTTTTTCCTTCCATTATTTTCCTGATATTTATACTTCTTACATTAGGTGCTGTTATTGAATTAAGGACCACAGACTTAACATTTTAAATTAACACAGATGTTGACTCATGGCCCGCACAAAGGAAAAGTACACATAGTCTGCAGGTAGACGGCTCCATCCTTTGGCTCTGTCCACAGAAGTTATAAGAATTCCTTTGTACATGTTTATGTGGAAAATATAGGAAGAACTCACCAAATAACATAAGTCAGCCCTCAAAGTCTTACTCCAAGAAACAACTTTCTCTGTGATTAAGGGCCTCTTCCTGTGGTCAGGGACCCCATGACACCAGGGGAGCTTGGATAAAGTTCCCTCAGGATGTGGAAAGAAGGGAGTCACTTAAAGGCAGGTCAGCGATGAGTAGTCTTCCATCTGTGCTTAGCTCATTAAATTAGAAAAAAAGAAGGCTTGGGGCTGGGGTTGTGGCTCAGTGGTAGAGTGCTCGCCTAGCATGGGTGAGGCCTTGGGTTAGATCCTCAGAACCACATATAAATAAAAGGTACTGTGTGCAACTACAACTAAAATAAATGAATAAATATTTTAAAAAAAAGAAAAAAAGAAGGTTCAAAATTCAATCTTTAAATTGTTGTTATGTAGTACTATTATTCAGGTGCAAGTAATTTCCAATTTTCAGTATGACTTCCTCTCTTGATTAATCAGTTGTTCAGAAGCTTGGCTTTTATTCCATGTGGGTTTCTCTTCTTCTACTAGTTTAGGAGTTGGATGTTCTAGTACTTTAGTTGTTTCCTTAGCTATTTAAACTTGTTTTCTCAAAGTGTAAAGTTAAGTATCTTTCACCTCTTCACAAATAGAAGAACCATAGCATCCCAAAGTTGATTACTATTCCTCTTTGTTAATTTATTTACTATTTTGTTCACTAAATGTGTCTGATTTTTAACTCCACACATCAGACATTCTTATTATTTTATACAGTAAATATATATTTAAATACATCTGTACATTTACTAACTTTTTAGCTTAATAATCTCTCTTCTCAGGTCTCCCACCTTGGATGATTTCCTTTTTTCATGTGAGTATGTCCTTTAGAATTTTCTTCAGAGGAGACTGGTTGGCAGTAAAATTTCTCAGTTTTTGTGTGACCTGAAAATTTTCTTACTTCATCCTCTTTATTGATAGTTTTATTACATATGAAAAACTTTCAGGATGACATTTTTTTTTTTTTTAAGCCAATTGAAGATACAATTCTATTGTCTTTTAGCTCCTATTGTTGCTTTTGAAAAGTTGTCCGTCAGTCTAAATGATAGCTCTGTATATCTGTTTGTCTTTCCAGCTGCTTTGAATATCTTAGGTGAAGTCAAGTTTTTTAGTTTCACTAAGAAGTATCTATTTACAATTTTCTTCTTCTTTTTTTTTCTTCTGGCTGAGATTTATTGGGATTTTTGAATCTTAGGGTTAGCACTGGGAACTTTTCCTTCAGACTTTCTATAGTATTTCCATTTGGAATTTATCTAGAGCATCTTACATCATCCTCCTAATCTCTTAGTCTCATTTCACATTTTCTCTTCTCTTTGTCCCACTGAGCCATATTTTGGGTTATTATTCAGATGCATTTTCTAGTTCACCAACATTCTCTTTAACTGTCTCTAATCTCTAATCTGTTTAATTCACTGAATTATTGATTCCTATTTTTATATTTTCATCTCTAGAAGTTTAATTTCTTTATTTAAAAAATGTGCTTTGTTGTTTTGTAGTCTCTTATCCTTGTTCATATTTTTTATGCCTTTTAAAAGATTTCTGAGTCATGTTAAAAAATTTATATTTTTGATAAACCCAGTAAGGAAATATTTACAGGTCCAATTCTACTGTTTCTGTTGGCTTTTCATCATGTTGACTTGTTTCTTTGTGTTCCAGTTAAAGCTGCCTTTCTCCAGGGGTGAGTTCTATTTATTTGTGAGAGCCTTCTAGGGTTAAGGTATTAACATTGTCACTATACTTCAAAGAAAAATCTACTTTAATCTTTTTCTCCCTTCTCAATGTTTCTCAAAAACAAAACAAACAAGCAAACAACAACAACAACAAAAACCAAACAATTATCCAGTGGATGAAAATCCATACTGGAAAGGATCTGTTACCACCCACATCAGCAGGATCTAATACTGGAAGATATAAAGTAAGAATGTGAAAAAGATATGCTGTTAAAATTTCTCAACAAATTAAATTCTTTGCCACTTGTATCTTGGGTCAACTTAAGGAGGACTTTCACTTGGCCAAGAAAGTACCTCTATAGGTGTGTTCAGTTCTGAATCATCCACGTCAGCCTCTATTATAAATCATGCATGATGAAACTGCATGTTGCTGTTTGTTTCAGTCATGTCATGCAAGACTGTGTAGGGAACAACCCCATGGTCATAGAAAGGCACAAACCTGTGAGGGTCATCTGGATCACAGTTAGGAAGAAACTGAGTGATTGCTTCTGCCACTTCTTCATTTGATAAAACATCCCACAGTCCATCAGTGGCCAAGATCAGCACATCATCTGCTCCATGCTCATATTTAGAGAGATCGTAGACTCTTACCTGAAAAGAACAGGAGCATGCCTTTTATGGTCTGTAACAAACTGACTTCTTATTCCTCTTCCCTTTTCCTATCTAGCTTAGTGGTTTCCAGGTATGCATTGTAAATTACTTGATTATACAGCAAGCTTTGTGGCCGAGGGTATATTCCTTTGAAGATTTGCCATACAAACATATAGGCCCAATACACAACTGTGAAAGAGCCTAAGAGGTGGGCTTAATAATTAGATTAATTAGATGAAAATGTAATGCCTGAGGTGGAGTTAGAATGATGACTAAGTAGGCATGGTGTGAGCCAGAAGATCAGTAAGGACCTTGCTTCCTGCTCTTCCTTTGCATATTCACTTAGCAAACATTTATTAAGGGCCCACCCTGGGGCTGGGGATATAGCTCAGTTGGTAGAGTGCTTGCCTCACATGCACAAAGCTCTGGGTTCAATTCCCAGGAAAACAAAAACAAAAAAACTATTCTTTTAGGACTAAAGGGACATACTTCATCTAAGGCACTCATGCAAAATCCTTGCCTTACTTGTTCTGAGGTCCAAGGGACCAGATTCCTCTATGTAAGAATGGGGCTCACACTACATTCAGATTTAATGAGTTCCAATCTATGCTAAGTGACAAAGGAATCCGCTCAGTCCAAATCTTCAAAGTGTGCCTTTGTCTGGAGAAACTTTAAGTCTTTCCTTACCTCCAGCACCTTGAATGACTTGGATATTTCAACATTTACCTAAGCTCTTCAAAACGAATAGAGCAGCCCTGGCAAAACTAAAAAGAATAAAAATCAAGCCTTATTTAAGTTAGGTGACAACTCCATGTTCACTCTATTTGGGCAGGGTTGGGGATGTGTAGGGAGGAGTGGGGAGGAGTTTGGGGTTTTATTGCTATTCCTGCCTAATTTGGTAGAATCAGCCCCTGCCTATACCACTTCATCAACTGACGACTAAAATAGTCAATTTAGGCTGGGTGCCGTGGTGCATGCCTGTAATCCCAACAACTCTGGAGGCTGAGGCAGGAGGATCCAAAGTTCTAGGCCAGTCTCAGCAACTTAGTGAGACCCTGTCTCAAAATAAAAAAGTAAAAAGGGTTGGGGATGCAGCTTAGTGGAAAAATGCCCATGACTTCAATCCCAGTACAAAAAAAAAAAAAAAAAAAAAAGCAGGTCAATATAATCAATCTCCTTTACCCTCTCACTTCTCTGTCATATTTTCTAAAAGTGAGACTGAATAAAAGCTATAGTTCAGGGGATGAGGGAGAAAATAGAGGGTGGTGGAGCCTTGTTAACTTCCCATGTGTCCATCACATAGTCAGCATTTTGTCACCTCATATCTAGAGACAAAAGAATTCTAAGAAGCTTACCAGCTGTTTGAATGCAAGTCTTTGACAGCCAAGCCTCCTATGTTTTTGTAAGGTTTGCCTGGTACAGTGATACCCAGTGGGGTGCTGGTCCTTTGGGTTAGCATTCTATCCCCAGCTGCAGAAAACAACAAAATGCCTACCCCTGAACCTTGGTAAATGAGCTCAAATGAAAAGCAGTTACCAGGTGCCAGGCCTCTGTGGCCTGCATATTAGATGGTAACAATTAGCTAATAGCCCAGAATATCAACCACACCCAGGGGAATATTGCACTGGCTTCTAACATCATCTCCTCAAAAGGCATGCTCACTCAAGGTTATAGAAACTTAAGCTTCTAGCAGACTGGAAAGTCCCTAAATGCCAGAATTTTATCCTCTAATTTTCACCCCTTTTGCTTTATCTCTGCGGTTGCCCAGTGTGTGAGAGCAGGGTTTCTCAAATGTTATTGCACACAGCAATGACGGGGGATCTTGTTAACATGCAGACTCTACTTCAGGTCTGGGCAGGGGCTTGAGAGTCTCTTGTTCTCCCAGGTGATACCAAAGGTGCAGGTCCATGGACCACACTGTGAGGAACAAGGTCATAGAGAAGCCCTCTGGGTCAGGTTTGTCAACAAGGAAATCAAGGGCCCTGCAAGCTCTGTAACACCACACACACTGTTCCCTAGAGTAGAAAGGACAGCAAATGTCATTGTGTTGTCACTTCCAGTATGCAATAACTTTGCATACTAGACACTGCTAGCTTCATAGCTTCATATCTACAACAAATTTCTGTGATAATTTGAGCTCCGATGAAAAGAACACATAAAGTAATGAAAGATGAGGATGTCAGACAGCCCAATCTTTTGCTTGCAATTAAACAGAAGATTCCAATTAATGTCCAGCTCCTTCTAACAGAGATGTTTCCAAATCTAAAGATGTTCGCTGGATTTCAGAATCTTTCCAGTGAAGAGGGTTCCAAAACCTTTTTGAAATGCTTCCTGCTGACTCAACAACTTTGACAGGTTGAGTTTTCAAGCTAAAGTTGTCTTGCCTAACACACCCATGAAAATCTGGCCAAAAGAACAGGGTGAGTTCATACATACAAACAGGCTACAAAATGCTACTCTTCAATTCCATCAGTAAATGGAACCCTTCCCTACTTCTATTCACATTTCCACTCACAGCTCACTAATGCAGTTTCATTAGCTAACATGAAAGTCCCTTTCAATACCATTCTCCACGTAATTTTTATGTCAATAATAAAAAGCTAGTAGCAACCCTATTCCCCTAGGCACCCCTCAATTAACATCCTTTTAGGTTTTTACTGCTACCCTTTGTTTCCTGCCCTTTAGCCAATTTCCAAAGGACTTTGCCAACTTTCCACTTACAACTCGGGTCTTATACATTAACCTACGATGCAGAACATTTTGTGAAAATGCTTTCAGAAAAATTGGATTGCCATGCAAGTCACCCTGCTGCATGCTCATCCTCCCCAGAATCGAGGGCTTCAAAGGATTCCAGAGGCCTCTGGAGTTCTGACTTTCCCTCCCTGAAGCTATTGTTGGCTTTCCTCAATTGAACCACACTCACCTCCCCAAAGTTCCCCGGCTCAATTTCTGAAATAGCTTCTCAATGTTCTTGGAAGCCTCACATCAAACTAATGGGCTCTGAGGCTCCCTGGGTCTTAGACATCTGGAAGAGAGTCTCAGCAGTCTCAAGGGAGAGAGGTGCCTACAGAACTACCTTTGTCTGAAGGGGGCTGGAGAACATGGTCAGGGCTTCCAATGGTTCCTTCCCTGGTTCCCATCTGGATGGGAGCCAAAGACCATGGAACTCCCTGGGTCTTGTGGCTTCTTAGAGCAACATAAAGATATTCCTTGACTTATGACGGGGTTATGTCCTGAAAGTCCCATTGTTAAATTAAAAATATTGTAAGTTGCATCTAATACAACTAAATTACTGAACATTATAGCTCAGAACACAGTATAGTGTAGAATACTGGCAGATGCCCCTTAGGACTGTGCACTGTGGCTTGATGCTGCGACCCAGCATTGCGGGGCAGTATCACACTACATATTGATAACCTGGGAAAAGATCAAAATTCAAAATATGGTTTCTACTGAAAATGTATCGCTTTTATACCATTTTTTGATTTATAAAATGGAAAAAATTGTAAGATGAGGACCATGTGTAATCTGAGCAACTAAGATGGGGTCTGTTTGATCCCTCTAGCTTCATTATTTGTCTAGAGAGCATCTGTTATGTGCCAAGCACTGGGAAAAATAGTGAACAAAAGTGACAAAGTTTCTCAAGTTCTAATCTTAGTAGATAAGGTGACACAAATCACAATAGCAAAGAATGACAGGTGCTCTGAAGCAATAAGGCAAGGTAAGGAGAGCAACAGAGTCAGTTTAGAAGATGTGGTCATGGGGGGGGGGGGGCCTCTCAATGATGCTACCATTTTGAACAAGTGAGGTGATTTCTGATGGGTCCCTTCCTGCATCTTCTGTTCCTGTTACTCCTCTTGATTAAAGAGTATGTAGATAGAGTGTGAAACTATTGGTAAACAAGTGGGGCTGAAAGGAATGGATACTACCCTTTATTGTGACAGAAATCCTAGGGAAGACCAAAGAACAGCCATTGTTCTCTCCCCTAATCCTTTGCAAACACAGTATAGTACTTCAAGTCTCCTAATGCAGTATTTACCTATATGTATACATCTGGGTTCACCTGTCTGTCTCCTCTCCAAGATTAGTTATTCTGAAATTTTCATGTATTTAAGAATCATATTGAGTGCTATTTAACCAATCCACGGGCTCCATCTTTATAAATTCTAATCATTTAGATCTGGGCTGGGGTCCAGGTGTCAAAACAAATAAAAATCCCAAATAATACCTATGAAAGTGGTGGGGGTATCTCATCTTGAAAATCACCGTAATAAGCAATTAACTTCTCTAGGGCATGGTCTGCCTTGTCCTATTTGTTTCTGTGCCTAGAACAGAGCCTAATGCTTGGTAACAACTCAGTAATCAAAAGAAGCATTTCCCTTGCAGGACATTTACCCCTGTCTAGTAAATAATGAACACCAAGGGAGGTGGTCATCTTATCTTCCACCCAAGATTCAGCTTCTAGAAACCAGAGATTCCATTAGGCATTTTTTTTTCCTGTGGGCCTGGAAGTATCTTTTACAGTGTTGGCCACAATAGCACTTCAGGAAATACTTGCTGAGACAAAGAATAAATAGGAGCAGAAAAAAAAAATTAAACCATGAGATCCATTCAGAAAATCATGGTGACCCAACAGTTTTTGCTGGATAACTCCGCGATACTCCTCAAGAATCATCAAAAAGGACTGTGCTGACATGTAACAGGAGTACCACTTTCCTTTTGCTGCCCTTTCCTCGGTAAAGCTACCAACAAACAAATAAACAAGGAAAAAAAAAGTCAAGGTCAAGGAGCAGGAATGAGTCTGGGAGCACAAAAGACCCTTGGCTAATGTGCCCTGAATGAGTCAAGTGTAGTTTTCTCACTGGGCTCTCGGCTTCTCAGCACTTAGAGATGTCCTAATGTCATCACTGGCTCCTATTTTAGCAGAAGCTGGTGACAAGCTACTCTTTAATCCAGTCCCTCCCTTAGCCCTCAGCTGCAGGCTGCTGTTTCAGCATTTG